ACAGTCACCATGAAATCAAAATCGAAATTTTTTTAAATTGAAAAATAATAAAATATCTTGCCCTTTTCGTCTCTGAGGCTGCATTATGTTCATTACTAATTTAATTAGCCTTTTGCTTAACTAACGTTATACAGTATGTTTTATATGATGTAAGTATTGTAACAATAAGCTACAATACTCACATAAATTGTTCCTGATATGCATTTATAAATTGTACCAGATAAACATGATATAATGGTTACTCTTCTGACCAGGGCTGGTTTCTTCATTAGGGCGACGCACCATAGAAGTGTGAAAGGGAGGGATTTGTTCTAGCTTATCTCATTCAACTACGGTGTTACACTAGCTGTCCCTAACTAGACTGTTTGTTCTGCCCTGGGGCGCTGCTATGGTTTCTGGGCCCCCTAAACACCCCCCCATTACAGCACATGATGTGGAGGACCACCCTTTTTGGGACAATTTCACTCTAGCTAACTGTTCTCATAGACTTCCTTTTTTTAACTGCAGCCACTGCAATGCAATCTCTATGAGTTCCAGGAGGACGAGCATTAACGTGCTTTCGTTATCATACATAACCTTAACTTGTGCAGCGAGTGGTGGGAACAAATGTTCCTCTATTAATTATCTTTAAGCTGAAGTCAGGTCTATATGGCCTGAATAAAGCAAACCAGCGTCTCACCAGTAAAGTTTAGATAGATGACATTTGTAAAGACGATTACAGTGACATTCAGGTGACATTCAATTTGTGTTTTGCTCTGTTTAATAATTCTGAATGGATCCGTATATATGTATATACAGTCAGGTTAAGGCGACTGGTTTAGTGATCTGTTGGCATCTCTGTGTGATTCTGTTATGTTACTGGAAAATGCTCTAAACAAATTTGACATTTATTTTTTTCCTCACAGTTTTTGCTGTTGCACTGTAATCATAATTTGTGAATTACGAAAATTAAAAAATATATATATATATATCTTGACACTGTTTAAAAAGCATGTGTGCTGTGATAAATAAGTGACTGAACAATTTACAGCTTTCTGAGAAGTAGAGAGAAGAATCAAGTAGAGAAAAAATGAATGACAGAAGTGAGTACTTACAGTGCTTCATATAGGCACAGATGATCTACAAATGATCAGTACATTACATATCAATTTATCATATATATTGCTTTCTCCGTAGTACCTCTGTTATCAAATGAAGGTGGCATTGATTCATTTGGTAAGATTTTTTCTGTCTGGTTCATTGCTATGTTTTTAATAGTCTTTAGTATAAAAGTATTAATTTGATTTTATTCTGTCACCCAAATGAAGATTGTCAATGCCAGAAAATCAACATCTGGCTCCATAGTAAATTCATTTAAAAATAATTAATTTTATTTTAAAAACATGTCATGCCCTAAGTTGATGTAATGTAGTGAGCTACTTTGTGTAATTTTGTAGTGTTGTTAGGTTAGCTTAGCAGATTTTACTCATTCGGCACTCAGAATAGAGATGATCACAATCAGGTCTCAGGGCTGCTGGAGAAGATCGAAAACATTACAGAGAGAAACCCATGGAAGTACTACACAAATGAGAAGTTTAAAAATATTATTGAAAAAAAGACCTTTAAAAAAAATGAGAAAAAGCCCTAAATGCAGTCGCAGCCGTAGCTGTACCAGTAAGTGTTGGATCCATAGCAGCAGGTGTTGTGCTGGTAGCAGAGGTGGTCATAGCACCAGTGCTAATAACCACAGGAGTTGTGTTTGCGGCTGGAGCAGCTGGAGTCTTTGTCTGGAAAAACATTTGCAAAAAACTTGTTTTGACATTGTAGATAGCAGGGATTAAAGTTCTCCAAAATCCACTGAAAAAACACTCACTGACTGAATTCTGCTCTCTCACTAATTCTCTCATAATAAACAACAAAGTGCAGATCTGATATAAGCATCAGTACTGGATCCGAGCATTAGGTCTTAAAGTGACAGCAGCCTAATATACCTGCTGCTATCTGTGTCATTAATTTTAATCAAACAACAAAAGAAAAAGAGAAAAGCACGTACTGCTCTTGACTGAATCACTTTTAACTAAAGAATCATCTTTATTTCTCTATATAATGCAGTGTCCATTTACATTTGATTATTCAATATCTGTGCCTGAGTATCTGATAAACTTAAAACACTGTTCATTTCATATGTATATTTGTTCTGTTTCATTTATTAGGGCTATTGTTTGTAATTTGTTTATTTGATCTTACTTCGTTACTGACTGTTTGCTTGTCTTTAATAATGCTTGAGCTTTATTTTAGTTAGAGTATTTGAGAAATTTCACTGGTATCTAAAATGTTGGTGTCATTACTAAGTCTTGCATGTCTCATTATGGTGTTTTAAGCCTTGTATCCTGGTTTTCCATGTCTTGTGCTGTGTTCACAATTACTGTGATTTCGAGATGACAAGATGTGACGCTCTACTTGGAGTTGTTCACATCCTTGGACTCTGAACTTTCGCACTATCAGTGCCTAAACGTAGCGCCTAATGAATCTGAGGTGGTCCGGTGGTAGTAGTACAAGTTGTAGCTCCCAGTTCACAAGTTGTAATTACAAGTTCTACGAGGACGTGAACACTTTTTACAAGTTGAAATCTTGTAACCATGGTAATTACGACATGGCGTGAACGCACCTTTGGTTCCTGGTTTTGATTATTAGCCTGTTGGGCTCAGCCCTGAACTCAGTCTTGGCTTGGATTGTCTGTTTGTGTATGACCTTTGCCTGTTTTTTGGACTACGTCTGTGGATTAACTCTTCAATAAATACTGTGTTTGGATCCTCAAGCTTTGGATCTCTGTGCAGTCCATGACAGCTGTCATCAGTTATGTGCTTTTTGCTGAACATTTTGTAAAGTTGTTCTTCGTACTCAAATGTGAATAATAAACTGCAAAAAACTGCTTTTTAAATATGAATCCTGCATGTCTCTGTGCTTTTATCTACGACACAAGCTCACTGTTTTCAGCATCGTCTTCTCAACTTTATGACGACATGAACACATGAACTTCATCTCCAGAGCTGCTCTGATAATAATAATACATGTATTTTTATATAGGCTAATAATTGAAATAATTTATTTTTAAAGCTATAACACTATCTTATTCTTTTTATAAGTTAACTCTGCTGTAAAGCACTTTGTTTGCCAAAACCTAAAAGGAATTGTTACATTTTCATTTGATCCGATTTTAAAATATTAAGTTGTTAATGTTTTATGCCTTCATTTGATTACCACTGTTTTTTAATACATTTGTCTTAAATTATAAATCCAGAGAAATTAAAACAGACAGAACACAGAATTTCAGAAGAAAAACTACTTTTCATATTTTTGTAAAAATTTTAATAAAAGTGTTAAGTTGTTACAGTTTTATAAATTAAATTGACTAAAAATGCTTTTTAGATTATTACAATTTAATTATACTATTTAAATGTGATTAAAACAGAAAACACTTAATTTGAGAAAAATAAAACAGATTTCATATGGCTCTAAAATATACTGTTAAATTGTATACGTTTTATGATTTCAAATAATTAGACATGCTTTTTGGTTATAATTTAACCATTAAACAGAATCCAGAAAAAAAATATAATACAAATAAAACACACAAAAGAATGTAATCCAGAAATATGAAACATAATCCAGTTCTAATGTCATCTCAGAGTACAAACTGTAGTAAGCATATGCTTGATCACTGTTATAATTATGTGGGGCTCCTTGGACAGTTTTCTCGCCTATAAAGGGCCCCTGGCTCCAAAACTTTGATAACCTGGAAGTCTCTGCTGTACAGCAGCGAGAATCACGTGATACATTAATCAAAGATGTCCAGCAGGGGCGACAGACAAGAGAGCAAAAACATCATATTAATAAGTGTGAAATATCCAGCAGAAAGTGTGGATACACAATCCTGTTCTCTAAACATCTTCAGTAAATGTATTTAAATTAACTTAAAGAAATAGATCACTATGTTTATGTAGTTTTAGTCCAGTAATGTTGTCCTCTTGTTGAGGGAGGGACACTGATATTTCTGTAACTGTGTTAAAAAAAACAGTGTTAACCACACAAAGCCAGTGAAGCTAAAGTGCATGTGTTAAAAGAGTCAGTCATTTAGCTGCTGCTGATCTGATGAGCTTCAACACGGTAAGACAAACACACTCGTACTTCAATGAAAACTGATGATTATTGCTCATATAACATACGTGTCACGGCGCGGTCAGGAATCACACCGTGTGAGCAAGGGTTTTGGGTCCAAATGCAGGTTTATTTCACTGCCAGGGAAAACAAAGGTAAAAACAGAAACATAAACAGAGCTAAGACTCTGAGACACAGGCAAGGAAACAGACTCTGACACCATACGGCCACGTAGGGCTGGCATCAGTCCCGTACAAACAATTAATCACACTCGTAACACAACTCAACCAAACCTTAAGCATCCACCCCGAGTGGCGTGGGGAAGGCGCCTAAATAGTCCTCATGACGGGCCACAGCTGTGTGAGAGTGAGTGTTATTGGCTAGTCAGTGTCATGTGGTTTAGGAGGGACGTGCTCATTGTTCAGAGCATCTGATTGGACAGAAATCTGTCTAACACTAGAATATTTCCGGCTCATGATCTCAGAAGTGAATATGTTAAATATGTTTTGAGTTCAGTTGCACATAGATGAGCTCAGATCTGATAAACGTGAACTAAAAGCCTCATTTTGATGTCATTGGGAATTTAATTAATCAACTTTGATTATTTTCTTAGTCTTGTTTTTCATTATTTGATAGTGCAGCATGTTATTTTCATGTTCTTTTTCACTCTTTTGTCTCTGTGCTTTTACTTCTGCTTTTCTGCGACTGATGATGCACTTCACATCATTAATAGATTCTGAGAAAATTAGCTTATAGTTTCTCTAACAAGTTGCTGTTTTAAAGTATTAAAAAAGTGTAATATGTTTGTAGTCCATTATAATTGATAAAACAACATTTTCATCCTGATGAATTCTGTGTTTCAGGGGTTTCTGGTGCTGGTTGGGGTGTGAGTTACAGTCCTTCACACATCTGTGCACTAAAGAACTCATCAGTGATAATGAGCTGCACTTATACATACCCTACTGGATATAAGATCAAGAAAGTGTTCTGGACCAAAAACCCTGTAAAGGGTGAAGAGTATCCAGATCTGTCTGAGGATCCTGAATACAGTCAGAGGCTTCAGTATCTGGGAGACACACAGCAGAACCGCACCATCAGACTGAGTCATGTGACACAGAAAGATGAACACATGTACTATTTCAAATTCATCACTGATAAACCTGGTGGAATATGGACTGGTGATCCAGGAGTGACTCTTACTGTCACAGGTGACTTTCATGAGGCTGAGCTCTTCTTCTGTGCATTATGTTGAATAATAATCAGTGTATGACAGCAGCACTAGATATAATGTGTGTGTTGTGTTCAGATCTTCAGGTGGAGGCTCCTGAGAGAGTGACAGAGGGTCATAATGTCAGTCTGACATGTAACAGCAGCTGCACTCTGACTGACAGAGCAACATTCATCTGGTACAGAAACTCACAGCCATTAACTGAGAGAAGAGACGGAAACAATCAACTCCTGCTGCAGTCAGTCAGAAGAGAGGATGCAGGCAGATACAGCTGTGCTCTACATGGACACAGTTACATCTCTCCTGCTGCTCAGCTCAGTGTCACGTGTGAGTACTGATTGACTTTTCCTCTTTAAAGTTGCTTTTGAATGTTGTCATGATTACATATCTCTGATAAATGGTCAGTTTTGTGGGAGCTCTTGTCCTTTCTCTAAAATCATAAGTCATACAATTATTTCATTAACAACACTGCTTCAATGCTACTTTAATACTCTGTATTGTGGAAACACATGAACACTGAGCAGTGTTTATTTAACACTGGGGACTTGTGAAGTATTACATGAATCATTACCTGTTTCAATTACGTATGACTGATGCATATGAATCACATTAAGTTTATTAATTTATGCAATCCAAATTGATGGAAAATGTGTTAAATTGTTAAGTAAAATATGTGTTAAGTGTGTAAGCAAAAGATATAAACAAATACTCGTACTTTTCTTGAACACACACACAATAAAAGCAACTCTATAGCGAGCCGTTGACAGGACTGTAAGAAACTAAAACTTCTTCTGGGCGAGTCAAACTAACTGTAAATCACATTAACATCAAATCAGAAAATACTATGAAATACTGGGCCTTCATTCTCAACAGTCTCTAAAAGAAAAAATGAAAAAAACAATTTCTAAGGTTGTGAAGGAAATTGTTTAAAAATGCAGTGTTTTGTCAATGAATAAAACTGCATATAAATACAGAATATAAATACTTTCACCTGACACCTGAAGATCCTCCAGTGAATACTGTGATCATCAGTCCATCTGGTGAAATAGTGGAGGGAGATTCAGAAATCTGTTATTCATACGTCTTAAGTGTGTGATGCCACATTTGTTAATGTTTTGTATTTTATTTTATTTTTTTAGATCCTCCAAAAAACGTCTCAGTGTCCATCAGTCCATCTGGAGAAATAGTGGAGGGAGATTCAGTGACTCTGAGCTGCAGCAGTGATTCAAACCCTCCTGCTCTGAACTTCAGCTGGTTTAAAGGAGGAAGGTTTGTAGGATCTGGAAGAATCTACAGCATCTCAAAGATCAGCTCTGATCACAGTGAAGAATACAAGTGCAAGTCCATCAATGAACATGGAGAGAAATACTCTGATGCTGTGAATGTATACGTCATGTGTGAGTTTTATGAATCATATTCTATATTGTAACCACACACACCTGCTTTCTTCCTTATTTGTCTGTATATGTTGTGGTATCTAGTCCTGTTAAACATACGGTGTGTGT